AATTTTCATCCAGTTAGAAAATTTAACTTCCAGATTATGCTAACACTACCATTGCTATTTATTTATTAATAAATGATTATAAATATGATTATAAATAATTATGAATTAGAAAGTTAAGGTGACTAGCTTCCAAAGGTGTTACTTATTTGTACCATGATCTCCACTACATTTTTTAATAATGAGAAAATAACCTTGTTTTTGACAGTAAAGAAATTTTGAACTGAGGGTCTTGTGCTTCTGAGCCATGTTCCCAAGCCATTTTCCTTCCTTCCTCCTTCCATTTCTCCTTCCCTCCTTTCATGTTTTGATCAGATTTCACATTTTTATTCAGAGTTGGCCTTTTTATACCTGGGATAAAATGTGATAAAATGAGATGTGAACCACCCTACCCAGTTTATTTATTGAGATATAGGCCTTGCTAACTTTTTCTCTGAATTGGCCTCAAACAGCAATTTTTATGATTTCAACTTCCAGAGTAGCTGAGACTGAAGGCATGAGCCACTACATATGGTAAAAATAATTTACAGATGAACTATAAAAATATATATTCTTTTGACAGCAATCTTAATTTTGGTTGCTTTGAATGTTAAAAAAAATCGGTGTTCTTGGGTGAAATCCTTTTGGCTATTCCTCAAATCTGCTACTACCATACAAACTGAGATATAGCCCTGTTTCTGATTTTCTGTAAGTAATGGGCACAGTAAGCATAACAGAAGAAATTTTGAAGTTACTTATTCGATAGTTACATTTCAGATGAACTCCTCTAACTAAAACTCTCCGCTCTGCTCCTGCCATCCAGGATTGTGTCTGATACTGGAGAGTAGATACTAATCATCAAGCAGATGATTAGTAGAACAGAGAAGAGATTTTTTTCCCCTAATGGGTACATCCAGAATTTAGATCTGGCATACTTGAAATGCCATAACATATAGCATCCAGGATTCAGTCTTTATAATGTTGAGTTTTGATTTTGTATTTGTAGAAGATAATTCAAACTATCATGCTTGTTCTTCTGAGTTTTGGTTTGGGGAAGATAGTTATAGGGAGACAATAAGATTTTAAGTTTCCAGCTGGAATTACCTTTGGGGTTGTTTTTCTAAGATAGAACGCCATCATTTTCTGCTCAGAGGCTTTGGGCTCTTCATGTTTCTACATTTCCTAGCCTCAATGACATGATGGTATTTATAGTTTTCTGTCAGGAAGGACTAGTCATTTTAGTGTGTTTTCGAACTTTGAGATCAAATTCCACACAGTTAAAGGGCACCCACATCCCTTCTGGATTGTGGAGATGGTTATAATTATGCACTTAATTAAATTATTCCTTGAATGGAAACTGAGCAGTTTGGATAACATATTGACTTGCTTGAGCATGGAGGCACACCAGGGGTTTCTGGGAAGTGATTCCTTGTCACATTCGTAGGAGTAAATTGGCATTTGGGAAATAGGTGAGATCCTTTTGGAAAGGTATTAATTCTTCATGCATTGTAAAATCCATTCAATTGTCTTCTCTTTCCTGTGATTTTTTTTTTAAACAAAATATTACTTTAGCCAGGTGTTATGGCACATGGCTCTAATCCCAGCACTTGAGAGTCTGAGGCAAGATCCAGGCTAGCGTCCGTTACACAGCAAGATCTTGTCCCCCAGCTGCCCACCTCCCCCCCAAGTTACTTTAATGCTTATAATTCCAGATCAATAGTTTGTTCTTTGAGCTTTGTTTTGTGAAGGGAGTAAAAGAGACCGTAAGATTCATTAAAAAAAAAAAAAAGTAAAATGAAACAACTTGCTAGAATTTACTTTAGAATTTTTTTTTCTGCGTTGGAAGATTGTTATTTTCTTCTTAGAGGTTTGAGACTTCTTTGATTTCAGCCATCTTCCTGGCTCACTTTCTGGAATACTACTTAGTGATGGCCATTTTCAGGAACTTTTTTTTGCTTAACTTGCTGGGTACAGATCCTCTGACCTTTTCACCACCCTAAATCCTGCCATTGTGCCACCTCTGTACCTTTCTCCCATGGGACATGCTGTAGTAATATAGCTCCAACAAAAGGGTTCCCGGATGAGCCTCCACTCACACCCGGGCAGAGAGCTTCTTCCTACTCTCAATGCTCACTTCATATTCGGCCGCTCATGACATAGATGTGCCGAGGCTGGAACAAGTGGATAGCTTAACAATCAAAGCTGTAAGAACAGACATGGAGCGACTCCCTGATGATCTGAAAAGCATCACTGATAGCTGGCTAGAGAGAATTTTGACTTCTTGACAGTGTAGTAAGTTTGGTGCCTTCTGACATGAAACAGCTCCACTGGTTATAGTCTGCTTGTCGTGAGTGGTAGTCAAGCACAGGGAACTGAGGGCTTCGATCTGTGTCATAGCTATAAATCTCTTGTGGGTATGTCCTTGTGTACAGCTGTAGGACAGTGGAGATGATGTTAGATGAGGCTGCTTAGTTACCCTGCATTGGCAATACCTGCACTGGAATACTTGCCTCTTTCCTTTTCACATGCACTCCTTCTCTCCAAGGATACTTCTTGCCCCATTCCCTCACCCAGTGGCCCATTCCTCCATTGGATCACAGCATCTGTAAGCTCTTTTCAAGGTAACTTTCCTTGACCACCCACAACTGCATTAAGATCCCCTCTGTACATGCTCCTCTTTCCCTACCTGCTTCCCAAACATAAGCACACAGCCCAGTAAAGGTAGGTTGGTTGCCTTTTCTTCACCCTTGTTAGATGCTGCAGCCTAGAGTCTAAGAACAGAAGCTGACTGAATAACCAATGTGTAGGAAATCTTACAAGGGCTGATGTTATGGGCACTCACTGTGTGTTCAGGTTCCTACGTGCTTTTTCATATCAAGTTTCCATAACAACTTAGGAATACCTCTTAAAAGCAGTTTTACAGAGAAGGAGATGAAGGCAGGAAGTTACTGAATGTGTCTGACATAGTCACAAATTGGTAGAGCTGGTACTTGGCTGTGGGCACCTGCTCCTATTGGGTAGATGTGGGTGTTGTGAGCATTCATTTGCCCAAATACTACATCCAGAGCTTGCTGTGCTCAGGGCAGAGTGTCATTCCTATTAGAGACAAACAGTAGCCAAGTAAACAAAGAAGATAAAAAGATGTCAATGCCATGGGTGTTAATGGAGGGTTATTAGCAAGTGAGTGGCAAGCGTAACTCCAGTGGGAGTGTTGTGGAACTGGAAAAGTAACTTGGGCAGAATGGTAGCTAAGTTTGGAAAGCCTGGGGAAGGGAGAACTTACCATAAAGGAGAGCCTCCGGGGCATGTTTTTGGAGTGATATGTGTGATGGGAGCAGAAGGAGTTGAGGGAAGACAATAGTTTTGAAACTTTGCTGTAAAGCCATGTATTGGTGGCACATAACTAAAATTCTAGTACTTGAGAGTCTGAGGTAGGAGGATCGTGAATTTGTGGCCAGGTTGGGAAAACAAAAAACACACAAAAAAGATGTGGAATTAACTAACTCAAGTACTCACTAAGATAACTAAGTGCATTGGCAGGCTTGACACCTAGACTAAGTGAGGACAGTGTGGCTTTACTTTTGTTCATCAGTTTTTAATAAGGGCATGAGTGTGGAGAAATATTTCTTCATGAGAACCAGCAGTGCAGACACCATGATAAATGATAGTTCATTTAACAATGATAATGTCAAGAGCCTTTTGTCCACAGAGGCAGAGCTGCAGGAGGAGTGGGGTCTGGGAGTAGTGGAGTGCCTGTGGGCCAGACCAACGTGGGCAGTTGTCTTCAATACCAGCCCAGTTTTGCCACGTGCTGCCTCTGCTGTATGTTCCACAGAATCAGACATCTCAATTGCTATGTGAAATCCCTGGCTCTTAAGAATTTTGGCTGAAGCTTTCTAAAGGGTAACAGTGGGTAGACAAAATGCATATGTGGCCTGCCAGTCTGAAACATCTGCTGAAAGTCCTTTTATGCTATGAGATATTCATAGCATAGAATTCAGTGCAGTAGGGATGCAAGTTAACTGTTTAGTGTTTGTAGTGCATAACCAATACTGAAAAGAAAAATACCTTTGCTAGCAATTGCACTGTAATTGTATTTAGTTGTTCATATTTAAAAGTAGACATTATCCAACTTTCATTCAATGATTAGAAAACAGTGGTGTTGCTATTTACCTGTTTAGTTGTTTGCTCTGAGTTTGGTACATTCTGTAACCATGCTTCAAAAGTAAGCAATAATTCAGTGGAAATCTGGTGATAAAAATAGTGAGGAACACAGGATAACATTTTGGAGTCACTGATGCTTTTTGATTTTACTCTTCTTCTGTTTCTTCTCCCCTTGTTCTCTGCTCCATCTCATTTGCATGCTAGTTCCTACTGGCCAGTGTCAGAACCCTGTATAAGTGGGAAGAGACGTGGCATCGTGCCATCCTAGACCACATGAAGAGTGTTGGGGAAATATAGCTTTAGAAAGTAGCTATGTGTATGAGCTTTTCATTGCTTTTAATGGAACCCAAATGTGCCCAAAGCAAGTTATTTCTTTTCCCAGGGGTAAATAAAAGGTCTTCATTTAGTCTAGTCTAACTCATATAGTTTTGCCTTACGGGAATCATATTTGGGGTGTTGCAATCTGTTGGCGATAGTATTGGGGAATTTTATTCAGCACAATCATCTTTGATGACTCTGGCAACAAGTGGACTTAATTATTTGTTCATGTACTCTTTGGTTTGTGTCTGTTAAACTCTGAAGCATTGTGAAGGGGATCACTGAGAGAAACAGATACACTCCAATGCTTCTAAAAGATTAAAAGCTTCAAAAAGTATTTCCTTTATCGTGTGTGTGTGTGTGTGTGTGTGTGTGTGTGTGTGTGTGTGTGTGTGTGTGTGTGTGTGTCTTAAAGTGAGATCATTTTGTTAAATTGATCTGGTTAGAAATGAAAATAAGCACTTTGTGTTTATGAAAATAAAATCTTATCTGTAAGTACAAACTCTTAATTGAGTCGATATTTTTCTAAATTTTTGTTGCAGATCATGGAAGAAACAAACACACAGATTGCTTGGCCATCCAAACTGAAGATCGGAGCCAAATCCAAGAAAGGTAGAGAGGGAGAGAGGGAAGAGTGGGCAGTTTTAACAGCTGAGGTTTTAGAGTAACAGGTTTGGAATTGTGAAAATTTACAGGGGAGGAAAGCAACCTTACCCTTATTTATTATGTACTTTTACTTCCCTCCCCCAAAATTGTCAAATAACTATGTTTTTAGAATTCTCATGGTTAAAAATAATGTGGCCCGGTGCCAGGGGCACACACTCTTTAATCCTCGCTACTAAGGATGCTGAGATCTGAGGGTCATGGTTCAAAGCCAGCCCAGACAAGAAAGACCTTGAGACTTACTTCCAATTAATACCAAAAGCCAGAACTAGATCTGTGAGTCAAGTTGCTTTGAACAAAAAAGCTGAGTGACCAAAGCCAGTCTGTGAGTTCAAGCCCCAGGACTAGCACATATACACACATACAAAAAAAGTGTAGTTTTTCCAACAACAGAAAATGAGACAGAAATACTATGTCAAATGCATAGTGACCCGTGATCTTAAAGCTGCCCATTATATAGACAGCTATAGGTTATGGTAACTCCACATGCGATTTTAGGGTTCTTTCTTGTACAATTTAGAGCTAATACCTGTTTTTTCTATTAATGGGATCTAAACCTTAAATTTCCTTTCTCCTTTCTTTCTTTTGCTTGCTTGCTTTGCTTTCTTTCTTTCTTTTTCTTTTCTTTTTTCTTTTTGCTGGTCCTGGAGCTTGAACTCCTGGGCTCTGTCCCTGAGCATCCTTTGCTCAAGGCTAGTGCTCTACCATTTAAGCCACAGCACCATTTCTGGCTTTTTATGAGTAGTTTATTAGAGATAAGAGTCTCACAGATTTTTCTGCCAGGACTGGCTTCGAACCATGATCCTCAGATCTCAGCCTCCTGAGCAGCTAAGATTGTAGGTATGAGCCACCAATACCTAGCGTTAAATTTCTTTTCTTGAGTATATTTTATCCATTTAGCCAGCAGCAAAGAACCCACTAGATGTCCTTTCAGTCTGACCATTAACATCTCCCCAGTCTAGCTTTTTCTATGCTTTTCCATAAGACACTACCCAGCAAATGGACAGTCAGAAATGGAAGAATATTACTCCTTTCCATTTCTTTTTGCTAAGATTATATGGTATTTTGAAATATAACTTTTCAGCATACATTTTTGGGGTATTTTTTTCTTTTTAAAGTATGAGCTTGAGCTCAACTTTATTGTGTATATTTTATTAAGAGTACAAATGCTGTAGTCATCAGGAGACAGAATGATTGTGCAAGCAGAGCAGTGTCCCTTGTGGTCTGGCTTTTCTGTTGTTGATATTCAGTTGTGTGTTTGTTGGCCCTTTGCCCTGTGATTTTTATTGCTAAATGATACAATACACTGCACAATTTCTCAATTTCCTTTCATAGTTTAGTCCTCATTTCCTTTTTTTAATCTCATTTTTTAGAGTTATTCATCCCATGGAATGTAAATTATTTTACAAAGTTTTGTGTGTTTTTTTTTTAAATTTTTGGGTGTTGCCAGATGGACTTTGACTGACATGGCTACAGAAACTCTGATCTTTTTACCTTTGTATTTGTGTTCACAGTAGCCAGGATTTGGAGCTTATATGCTAAATAATCATAAGAAGACAGGTTAATTTCCATGTGTAATTCCATATCTTTATTTGCCACTGGTTATAGACCTGTTATTTATTATTTTTCCATACCATTTTGATGTTTTATACTCAATTCAGGACAATGGTAGTAGATTATCTACTTATTTGCTTATAGATATATAAAAATCCCTGGCCCACAACTTGGGTAAATTGAAACTGACTCTTCTTTTCCTGTTGCCAGGTATTTTTACATACAGAATAAGATGAACTTCATTGCTTGTTTAATAAAAACAAAATTCCATTAGTCCCCAAAGAAAAGTCCCAAGGAAACATGAATGGTAAAACCATTTCAAGAGAATTTTGAAATGGCTTATTCTTTTACCCAGATCCATGCTAAATTCCTCCCCTACATCCTCCTTCCCCAATTATCATGAAAAACTAAGAATTGTTTCAATGTTTTTTGTTCAAAATGTGATTTCAACATTAGAGATTTTGGAAAATATGGAGATTAATAGAATAGTCTCATAGTTTTAGATTACTTTCCTTTCATTGGCACACTTAACCTATTCAGAAGGACCAGTGATTACAAATTTTGATGATACATTTTGCTTTAGAATTAATATTTTAGCAGGATATTGGAGTATACTTGGGATAATTTTTACATGCTTTAAGTTAAACTTTGGAATTGTGTCTAAGAATTGGCCCCTCCAGTCGTGGGTCTTCAGACTTCATTTTATTTATTTATTTTTGTATATGAAGTGCTCTGAATGTACATGGCACTGCGCAACAGAATGTGACAAAGGAGAACATGGGATCGAGAAGGAACCAGAAGTTTGCCTCTGAGAACTGTCCTGTTCAATTTTTCCTTGATGGCTCTTATTTAAACACACAATTGCTGACTTAGTTCTTGGCTAACTTCCCTCCTGTGTAAATATGGTTTTATTCAGAAGTGAAATTTCATTGATTATAATTTGTAGCTAATAAAAGTAAAATGAAGATGTCAGGAGGAATTTTAGTAGGTAATTATTTGTTGTTTCATCTGATGTGGCTGTTGTCTCCCCGCTGTATAGTAGAAGGAAATATTGCTGGTCTTGAAGCTTTCTTTGGGTTATTATTGAAGAGACCGAGGTGTATTGATGTAGTTAAGAGATTTGTGCCATATTTGGGATGATTATTAATTTGTAACTCCCACGGTAGCTTGAAGATTTGGAATATATGTTAATTCTCAGTCCATGCTAGAGAAAACTAGAAAGTATTTTACTTTCTAGTTTTTATGACACACATTGGTGGAATATTTGAGCTTACACAAACATTTTTCATGGCCACTGTTACCTCTGTCTGCCCACTTCTTTACCATATTGGAATTTGGTCCTGTGTTTTTCAAATCAGCTTCCAGTATCTCTGTCCAGACTTTATTTTTGAAACCATTAATCCTTTATCGGAATGGCTGAGTGAGCAATTGTAGCGCTCCTTGGTTGAAGTGCTAAGAGCCTTCATTTTCCATCAGAAAGTTCAGATTCATTTCTAGAGATTTTAGTTAAGAAGTTCTAGCATAGTCCTCAGAGTGTATATATTTAACAAGCTCCTTCTGCTGCTATGGTTAGCTGAGTTTGGGAAACGAAAGTCTTACCTTCTGATGTAGAAACAGTCACCAGGAAATTTAGTTGCCAGGAAAACTGTGTTGAGTATGCAATGATGATAACCACAGTGGAAAAACAAGTGAAATTCTTCAATGTCACAACCAAAGAATTGCACTGTTCTAGATTTATAAGTTTTACATTCTGTCATCTTTGCAGCCAGTTAACATGGATAAGGTAATGGTAACATCATTGTTCTTTGACATTGTGAAATATAACTTAGAGCAAAGAACCATCTGGTATTTGCCTCTCTAGTCCTCTCTTTTTCTCCTCCTTCCCATTCATTCCACCTTCATTTCTCAGTAAGGAACTTCTTTTTTTGGGGGGTGGGTGGGTCATGGGGCCTGAACTTTAGGCCTGGGAGCCGTCCATCAGCTCTTTAGCTCAAGGCTAGCGCTCTACCACTTGAGCCACAGCACCTCTTCCGGCTTTTTTCTTTTTGCTTATTTGGTGCTGAGGAATCGAACCCAGGGCCTCATGCATGCAAGGCAAGCATTCTACCACTGAGCCATCTTCCCAGCCCACCTTCATTTCTCTTCAGCTATGTTCTAGATCCTAGGATGCGCTTTGAAAAAAGTAATAGAAGTGTATTTGTTTATGAAGAGTATTTTAAGGGATGTATTTTTCTTTTTGCTTATGTGGTGCTGAGGAATCGAACCCAGGGTCTCAGGCATGCAAGGCCAGCGCTCTACCACTGAGCCACCTTCCCAGCCCTAAGGGATGTATTTTTAAATATAAACTGGGGGATAGAAATTTTTGTTTTTGTTTTTGTTTTTAATCCTACAGCACTGAGCTGACTGGAAAACTGAGTGCTCATTAAAGCCATAAAGAACTAAGACTTTAAAGCTGAAGATAATGGACATTTAAATAGATGACTGTAGGATTGTTTTAATGAGGGTCACAATTAAATTTAAAGTGAGACTTAATATTTCTTCTGTGTAGTGGCAATTTATCTTGTGTGGAAGAGAATAAAATTGTTTGAAGCTCTTGACAGAAAAGCATGAGGCTTGTGCCAGTGAAACCATTATTTAAGGATTAAGGTGTTTGAAATTGTAAAACCTAGGATATCTTTAGACATTCAAATTTTGAATATATTTTTCTGAGGCATAGCCTATTTTAAAAAGAATGCAGCTTCATTAAGTATAAATAGCATTTTGAACAAGTTTAGCTGCTTTGCCACAAAATTTCTGCCAGATCTGCCTTAACAAATAGATAAAGTTATTTGTAATGAGAGTTAATCTCATATATATACATTGCACTGTGAAGTCCACAATGTTAAATGAGTTTTTTTCTCTCATGTGAGGTAAATATTTTTTCTTAAAATTATTTTGCTTTTAATTTATCAATTTCTTTTTTCTTAGCCTGAAAAAGGTAAATATGGGTAAAATTATTTAAAGTTTTTTTTTTATTTACTAGATTTCCAAATAGATGAGGTCCACGTTAAAGAAATGGTACTGCAGAGTCAAAGTGGTGGCAAGTGCAGGAACTTCCTAGGAGAGCAGAGGTGGCCACAACTAACCAGATTGTACAGCACTGACTGGATTTCTGATGTATCCTGCTTTACAGGCAGTCTGGCACCAGTTTGGCTCTTTCCTTCCTCCCAGAATAAACAAGAGAATTATTAGAATTCCATGAGATTATAATATTTTTTGGTTGTATTCCATCAGAACAAGCGGATATCTACTTGGAAATCTTAGCATGAGTAAAACTGTAGACCTTTAACTTTTAATTTTCCTGGGGAAAGTGTTTTCTGGAGGGTACTTTAGTTTGGTATCCATGGTGCACTAAT